GTGTCCTTTCCTTTTCTGAAATACAATTTAGGATTCAGGAATGTGATTCTTAACCCCAAGAAGGAAATCTTGTACAAATGGTTTCTTGAAAGCCAGCATGTAGCCTGTTCATAAACTTTATGATGTGTGAAGCACATGTTCGAAGGAAGTATTTATTAGCAGAGCCGTAAGTTAAATTGGACAAAGTGGCTCATGCCTTCAATATTCCGTCATTTTCCATACTGTTTATGTATCCAGACCCAAGTGTGAAATTTAAATTTGCTTTTAATGTATTTGCCTGACAAATGATTTACTCTAGCCAAATGTGTTTTCTTTTGGGTCCCCAGGAGTTATGCTTCGCAGTTGGAGGAGACTGAAAAAATGCTTATAAATTACATTGTCGATGTTAAGGTTTCTGTGCAGGTATCACAGAATTATTTTACTGGTGGTTAACAAAATGTAGCTTATCTCGAATAAAAGTAGAGTGGCTTATATTTGAGGTGTTATGGTAGATTTAGAAACTGATTAAGTCACCGTGCTGTCTCTGAAAGTCACAGTTAGCATTACCGAGTATTTGGGTGGCTCCTCCTGGGACACCAGTTCTGCAATGGGCTGTGGCCCTTGGTCTCTGATCTCTGCCAAGCTCCCGCCAGAGCACACCAAAATGAGCACTAGAGTCGGAAAATTGTAAACTTTGCAGAGCTTAAAAAACTTTTGTAACCACATTCTGAAAGTAAAATCCTGTAAATCTGATTTACTTATAGTACCTACTATGCTGTCTATGGTATTGATAGCCTTGTTTGTACTGGATATCTTAGTGTGAATATGGTTGATTTTATACGGGTAAAGGAAAACACTTATTAAAAGACTCTAACTCACTCTGTGTTTTTAACACGAGGGTGTTGTGTGTGTGCACTCATGTGCTGGAGAGCATGTTGTACCTGTGTGAGTGTTAGTCTGTAGTGGGAAGGGGACTCACGTGGAAACAAACTCACTAAAACATGCTGTGAGTGCATACAGATGTGCTTCGCGTGTGCCCAAAGCAGGTACTTCTGAAATCCACAAGGCAGTCAAAATACAAACTCGAAGTTTTAAAAACATTTACATCTAGCGAAAATGGTTTTTTTTTTCAGTCTTTCTTTATTATATGTCCTTGCCACAGTCACCAGACTCTCTGGAAAGTGATAACGGCCTCACATAAAATCAAGGACCACTGAAATACCGTAGCATAGCTTAGAGAAGCCAGCTGATTTTTAAGCCCTGGTTCCTCTCACAGAAAGTGGAAGGCAGTGCTGTTGTAGTGTTGCACAATGGGGCCGGCTCACGGTGTTTTCTCTGTGTTTGAAATGCTGATGAGTAGCCAAGGTTCATCTTTCAACACCCATGCTTGAACAAGTTCAGACAAAGTGTTCCCAGTTCTAATTTGCTCTGCTTTCTTATTTGTCTGGTAGATTTCCTTCATAAGGGACAGAAAAATCTATGGACATTCAGACACTGAACATAAAAATGCACAGGATAACAGTATTTCAAGGCCTCAAATATTCCTGTGCAGCTGATAAAATTACAGACTTTGGAATCAGTCGCCTGGATTTGACTAACTGGCTCTGCAAAACATTAGCAGCAGGACTTGGATCTCTGTTCCCTTCCCTGTAACATGAAAATACTGAAAGCGTCTATCGCAACTATTTATTGTGGATATTAAAAGAAATAATGTACAGGAAGCACCTAGGACTGTTCCTGACACCTAAAAAACTACTCAGCAAATATTAGCTATTACTTATTATTATTGTTGCTGTTATTATTATTATTAGTCTGCTATGTGCTAGGCACTGTATGAGGCTCCTTGTATGATCTCACTGCATGGTAATGAAAGACCCGCAATGTAAATATAATTGGGGCTGTTTTATAAATTATGAGAAAGGGGCTCAGAGAAGAGACCAAGAAACTAGCTGGAAAGAGTCAGGATAATTATTTAAAGCCAGGCCCCCTAGCCTCCAGGCTCTTAATTTATTCATGGCGTGTCTCATACAGTCACACATGTGACTATTTAAGTTAGTTAATATTAAATAAAAAATTTAGTTCCTCAGTTCCACTTGCTACATGTCAAGTCTCAATAGCCCTATGTCGGTGCGAATAGCTACAGTACTAGACAGCACAGATACAGAATCTTTCTGTCATCTCAGAAGTTCTATTTGACAATACTGCAGCCTCGGACCGACACCAACTCTCCAGGCTGGTTTGTTCTCTACAGGACATAAGATATTCTTCTAAATATTACAGCACAGGTTCATCAATAGATTATTTAACTCTTTGTAATCAGGATAACCCATTTGCTGCATGACCATGTAGATGACACTAATCTATCCAACAGTCTGCACAGGAATGAAAAACCTGTCCTCAGCCAGGTTATCACAGTGTCTGAGAACTAGGAGGACCCTCAGCTGTGGTCTAGACAATCCTGTTGTTCAGCAGTGAGAACCGATAACGATGGGAAACCCTAGTCAGTGTGCAAACACCGGCAGAGTCTCCAACATCACATCTACTCACCTCTAGTCCTCTACGGGCTTGTGCTTTTCATTTGGGGTCAATAAGCTAAAGCTGTTTGAAATACCGTTTAAGTTTCTAGCTATTGTCTACTTAGAGTAAGCTTTGGAAAGAGGAGATGGTGATTTGTTATTATGTCCTTAACACTGACATTTACTCAGGAAATTTTTCTCCTAACTGGAAGCCAAATGACTTGTCTAGTTAGGCAGCCAATAAACATTATTTATAACATTTATCACCTTCTTTCTGCAGACTCTCTCGATTGGTATCACACACTACAATCTGGAAACTTTAAGTAGAAAGAACAAATGGGATGGCCAAGCAAACAACCGCATAACTGAATGTTGAGAACAAAGCCAAGCAGACTGCCTCTTTGAGAAGAGTCTCTTTCATGTAAAACCAGTCCTGTTTGATTTTAGAAGGAATATCTGAGGCATGAGAAACAGACCTGGGGCCCTTCATGCATGTACAAGAGTAGCTAGCACCCTAGAAGGAGCATAAAGGGCCAGAAGATCAGATGCCTCTGTGGTGTCCTGAACATATTTCAACTACAGCAACTATCGCATTGTGTTTTAAGTGTCAGTTCCCATGTCCCGTTCTCCCACAGATTATGAGCAACATAAAACTTATTGCCTATCACAGTGTCTTACAATATGGTAAAATGTTAGGCTTATTGAAAAGATAAAGCAACGAATAATTGTTAAGTAGCTGATATAATCAAGGAATACCAAGAATTTGTATGTTAAACCATCCCCCCTCCAAAAATAAAAGAATATGATCATTATCCCAAAACCTTCACACCTCATTGTCTGCTATTGCTTTAGCCAACCCCCTTTGATGTGATACAAAACAACCCATATGCTGAGCTGTTTCTCTTTGCCCAAGTCATTTGTTTGATATTAAATTTTAAGGTCCTCTCAGATGTAAGAAGCACTCGATAAGCAATGCTTTAGAAAAGATAAGAAGAAAGAGGTAAGGTTATTGTTCTCTCAGGTCTGGTTGGTGCCAAAGAGAGAGAAGAGTTAAAATGAGCAATTAGGAATCATTAGCTGGATATAAGCTCGACTTCCTGAGAAGATACAGTAAGTCACTTTGGCCTGTGGAATGTATTCTGTACTAAAGAACGTTAACATAGTCCAAAAGAATTAATTCAATAACCAGGAAGGCCTAATTTACAGTTTGCAGTTTAGGCCCCAGAAGTTCTGCCTCATGCAAGCTGTTCGGCTTAATGACTCAGAAACTTTGGTGATATATGCGTGTGTAGTCTGCCTGGGTCTTCCCACGTACACACACCTACTCACCTCTCCAAATGTCCTTACGTCACTAGCTGGTAGAGGAGCAGGAAGTGGCTTCCCCGCACGTGCCTGTGTCTTTTCATTCCTAAGGCCACTATCTGACTCCTAAGAAATCCTTGTTTCTGCAGAAATAGCCATGTTGCCACAACAGGGAATGATTTCCAGTCTACAATTATGACAAGGGGACATTGACCCATTCCTCATTTGTAAATGGGAAGGGGGGCTATTAAGGTTGTGTTCTTTGACATGACAAATATTCCCCAGTTACAAAAGTGAGGCATTGCTTAGATGGCATTAAGATCATAAATTCTCATATTGTCACTTGTTAGGAAGCTTTGCCTTCCTAACACAAATTTATTCCTGAAAAATAAAGAAATGAAATGAATTAGCTAGGCTTAAGTCTTTTCTGAATGCAGTTGTAATATCTAAGTTATTTTCTTTGTGTCCAACCTCTTTTGGGAGATCCTGGTTTACAATCAAATTATTTTTCATATTTGTTTTCTTTTGTGTTTTTTTAAGTATGCATTTTTATGAGCAATTTAATCATAAGGAATCAAAGAATGCATTTGACTTTGTCTCCTGTGGCTTTGTCACCAAGGTGTCTGAGCACCCTAGGACCACACTTTTCCTCTTCTCTTCCCCAAAGCCAGATTTTGTTGACTCCAAAGTACAATTCAACCCCAGAGAAAGCTTCTTATCAGATAAAATAAGAAAGAAGGAACTGTACCTCTCGTGGGAAACACTTCCCCCACTCCCAGGACTAGGCATGTGATGTTCCAGTCCACCGTTCCGATTTTATCATCTTCTTGGAATTCAGCAATAAGACTTGGTTGCTAAAACACAGTATTCAGGCTTATTTCTAAACAGTGTCCAGACAGAGAAGTTTTAAGTACACACAGATCAAGAGCCATCCATAGGCTAATCTACATTCTCTCAACAAATGTGATATAATGAATACCTGTCATGGGTCAGGAATAGTAGTAAGCAGGGTGTATATAAGTAGACTAGCATGGTTCCAGGGGGGAAATATGGTAACTTGGGCATTTGTAATATGACTAAAATTTAATAAATTCCATGGTAAGTCAAAGGTCAACTTCATGGAACTTGTCCTGCCTCTGAGGTTATCACTGTGTTTAAAAACAGTGTGATCCCATCTGGTTTCTTCATTTTCTTAATTCACAGAATGTCAGTATTGGGGCTCAGAACTCCAGCTACCTACGCTGAGTTTCGAAGATGTTTTAAGAAGTGATGAACATGCATACAAGTGGCTCTCCAGCCTCAAGAAAGTAGGCATCGTGCGACTCACAGGGGCATCCAGCAAACGAGGAGAAATTTTAAAACTTGGCAAAAGGATTGGTTTTCTTTATCTCACATTTTATGGGTGAGTTACCAAATAGTTTATATTCTGACATTATATATAAAGTTGAATATATTTCTCAGGAGGGGTACTGTTTTGGTTGGAGATACAGACATTTCCATACTATCTTGAGCAGGAAGTCAGATAAGAAGCTGACCTCTTAACAGTGAGATTTCTCTGAGGATCACTGGAATTGTTAAGAAATCTAAAAGCCCAAAGACATCAGTCTAGTTATAGGTGTATATTAGTTTGTCTGAGATGCCGTAAGAGAATAACAGACACTGGGTGGCTTAAAGAACAGAAATTTACTTCCTCTCAGTTTGGAAGGCCACAAGTTCAAGATCACGGTGCCAGCAGGGTTGGTTTCTGGAGAGACCTCTCCTCCTGGCCTGCAGATGGCCACTTTCTCACGTCTCCTCACGTGGGCTTTCTTCCATGCACCCACACTCCTAGTGTCTGCCCCTCTTCTTGCCAGGCCTAGAAGCCCCACACTTGGAACTTAACCTTGATTGCCTCCTTACGGGCGCTCTCTCCCAATAGAGTCACATTGAGGGTTAGTTAGGGCTTCCTCGTGTAAACTGTGGAGAGACACAATTCCCAACCAGGTGGGGTGGAAGACTGGGTTTCTTCAAGATTTTTATAAAATATTCAGCTCTACAAATGTTAAAAGTCATTAAAGTTTTACCTCCCAAGAGTTGGCGAAAAATAAAACTGGGCCCTAGGGGATTGAAACCAGCCACCAGATGTGTTTAAAAATAAAAAGATAAAATTAACATGCAGAAAATTAAGTCTATGAACTTAAGCAAGTAACAGGAAATATATAATTCATTTTAACTTTGGAACAAGAAATGGTTCGCATAAGAATTACTGGGAGGTAAAACTAATTATGGATGGTGAAATACTAACAACAGAAAATACTTACCTGGAAGTGGGGGCATGACTTCATTTCTAATCTTTAGGGCGAGCCTCTCATGTGCAGTGAAGACAATGATTCTTGGGCTCGTAGAGTAGAGGGCACTGGAAGGAGAAAGGACCTTCAAAATCTGAAGGTTGGAAACTGGTAGCACACAGACTGTATTTAGATGTGTTTTGCTGGGCCTACATGATGTTCAAAGAAAATGAAATTAGTCATCAATACTTAAAAACTGGGAGATTTTACATTACGTATGGATCTGACATTTCTTGAAAAAATCAAGTCTGGCAACAGCTGAGCCTAAATTCCTGCATGCTGACAACCTGCTGGTCCAACGTAGAGGCTGCTCCTTGAAGACAGCACATGTTCACTCCCCAGTTTGCCAAAGGCCTTCCCCAGCCCTGCTGGCCTTCAAGTTTGCCACCAGAATCTACAGTAAGACTTCATCTGGTAATAAACAGAGGATTGAAAAATTCGGTTACTTGCCCCCGGTGATTTCAGCAAGTTAACTATTTGCAGAAGATGCTATCCTATTCAGACTTGAATGACCCAGCCCCTACCACCACTCCAAGAATGTCTCATAAAATGTGTACCTTCCCTACAGCTGGAAGAATTTGAATGGCCTTAGGGATCACACAGCAGTCATGGGCAAACAATAAAAAAAAAAAAAAGGAGGAAAAGCCTTGAAATTACTAAAAACCTCAACAGTATTATTTGTTCTTTATTTTAATGTTCACAATTTTCTGAAGTATATACTATCTCCCATTTCACTCTAAGGAATCTGAAGTCCAGAGAATTCAACCATGACCCACATTCCCAACACATAGTTACAAAGGAACCAGAGCTGGGATCTGGGTCTTTTCTACCCCTTGGCTTCCTAATCCATGTCACTACCAATAATAAAAAGGAAGAACATGGAAAAGATGCTTTCAGGCACTGGATGTAAACAGAACATTTCAAAATAAATATCTTCTACATTGTTGCACTTAGGTTTCATTTGCTTACAGCAGACTTCTTGTATCCATGCCAACACGTTGGGTATTTCATAACAGTGGCCAAATTGGGGGCTCTTCATTGTAGTTCTCTTACTCCTGCTCCCACCCACCACATAAGAGTCAATTCTGCATCCTGATGTATGACTTGTATTTTGTTTTGTTTTATTGTTACGAATGGTAACAAAATAATCTGGCCACTGATCTAATATTGTGAAATTTATTGGAATAAAGACTAAAGGTTCCCTGTCAAAATAAATCAGACCTCCTACTATTATTCCATGTCCTTTGTCCAAGCCCAGTGCAGCAAACCAGATAGGTTTAACCTGCCAGTACTCAGTCTCACCTTCCACAGGCGATCACACTTCTCTCCTGAAGTGTGAGAGCAAACTATACCACAGGCCACAAGTGCCTTTCTTGCCACCTTACTGCTACTCTCAGCATTCATCATCAAGATCTCTCTTTTTTGGTGGGGGAGTGGGGGTGCTCTTTCATTTCCTAGCTTATGAAGTTACAGAAGAACACAGTTTCACTGTTGTTGCTTTGTATCTTTTGCTTATTTGTGGGTGTTGTTGTTGTTGTTAAGAAAATGATCAAAGCATCTTCCCTGAAGAATGTTTGGGTTCATTCTTCAGAGGTTTTGTTGTTGTTGTTGTTTTAGCAGGACTTGGATTTGGTCTGAGTAGCAGGAATTTTTAAAACTGTAGGTGATTCTGATGTGCAGCAACAGTTACAAACCTCTGGCTGAGAGGAAGTGTCCTTCAAGAGAAGCCAAGTCTCATTTGGCAAACGACTTGGGTGCTACACATCCTCTCAGCTCTCACAGTTATGTACCCTAAATGGCATTTATCATGTTCATCTTTGTCCTGTGCCAATGCCTGGACATGACTGATCCTCACAATAGAACTAGTAGCTGCCTTAGCCAGGACCCCTCCCTTTGCTATCTTTGCTTCTCCACTGGCACGGTGCTTTCTTCTTGTTTGAAAAATAATTGCTTGGCGAGTAAGTGTACATAATAAATGAATGAAGGCAATACATAATGGATGAGACGGACTTGCCAGAATTAGGAGAGGGATAGAGAAAGGAAAGTGGGTAATGTTAAAGGTAAACCTTGTTTTTCATGTACATTTTTCAGGGAACATGGATTCCACTCTTGCTTAGATGCCAAAACCAGTCAATAGCAAGGTGTTAGTTTACACACACCTCCCTTGGGAACCAATTCCCACCTAGCACTTTTCCATTCAAACAGGGTCATACTTGGAGAATTCGAATTGCATCGGTCTAAAATGAAAAGTATAATATCTAATTTTGGTTTTTGGCTGTCATCTCAATTATTAAATTGTTGATTGGATAAACGAAAACAGTAGGTTCCAGCATTTTGTGCAGCCTTGGTATATAGTGGGCAAAGAATAAATGTTTAATGAACAAATGCATGCCTAGATGCTTTTAGAAGACTACAAGGCAGCAAATGAATGCAATAATTATTAGAGCATTTTATAATTATACGATTATGTTCAACTTCTAAATCAAAAATGATAATAACGTTGGGGACAAAAGTGCATGTCATCCATTACCCACATCTGTATTATCTCAGATTCTTGTCATTCTTTTGTCACTGCAATGTCTAAACCAGGGGAGTCAAACTCATTTTCCCTGGGGGCCATATCAGCCTCCCAGTTGCCTTCAAAGGGCCAAAATAATTTCAGGACTGTATCAATGTAACCACTCTTTAGCTGTTAAGGTGCTGAAATTACGTTTCGCCCTTTGAAGGCATCCTCGAGGCTGAAGTGGCCCCAGGGGAAAATGAGTTTGACACCCGTGATCTGGACAAGACTTTTTTCACACAAACATGTAAAATGCTCAGTATCCCAACACCTTGATGATGAAAGCATTCCAGGGAGAAAAGAATAAGTCGATAAAGAAACTTCCATTGTCATTAAATATGTATCAAATATGTATACTTGTGGAACAGTATATAAAATGATAACTTCTTTAGAAGGATTTAAACCTCTGATTCAGGGCTGTGTAGTTTTTACAGAGTGAGGCCACATAGCTCATCCCAAGTTCCTGTCCCCCGCCAAAAAAAATCGATATAAATGACTTTCTTTATTGAAGAAGTTGTCTGAATTTTATGACATAATTTAACCCAACAGGAAATAGTACTAGTTCAAGGCCTACACTCTTCTCTCTAGGGAAATTTTAATGAAAAGGAGTATATGCTAAGATATTGAGGGTATCCATTGGAGAAAACATCAAAAATTCTTTCTTAGCATTGTTGACACTTACCAGTCCTTAGTTAGAAAATTAACCTCAAGACTGACTCTGGGTGACCCTTTGTCATTGGAAAGTCATTTGGAGATATTAAAAATTTCAGCCTTAACTAGCAAGGCCAACTTCTTTCCAGAATAAAGCCCAGAAGATCAGATTTCCTTCTGTCAAAAATATTTTATTTGCTGGCATGAGCAAGTTGCATTAATATACTTGTAGTAATTAGACTAATAAGAACAATGAAGGGAAAGTTAAAAATATGTTTTTTGGAAACACTAGCATCAGGAATAAAGTAAAAACAGTGAGAGATGATGAAGAAAATGGGGAAAAGAAAAGAACGTATGGATGTTGGTGATAGTTACATGTTATCTTGTAGAAGCAAACATGGAAGCTGTGCAGCCGCTGGAAAAACTTATAGAGCCACACATTGTAGAGAAAAAATAAATAAATACTGTGGAACACTTAGCTCCAAAAAGAATTGAGGAGCCAATGCCCCAGAGCATCTGTGTTCCATTACTGCCCAGAGAGCGCCCAAAGGAACAATGGAAACAGAATACATTCATGCCTTCTCAGTCGGTTATTTGGAAGTGACTAGTTGATCTAAACCTTTCATTTAATTCTCTGGAGCTCTGTGACTCTCCTCAACTGAGGACTTGCTTTTCTCTGTCCATAGGAGTGTTGGAATACCTGCCGTGCCCTTTGAGACCTTTGGGTAAAAATTTGCTGGAAAAAATGTAAAATTCTACTGCTACTGCCCAGCTTTGCCTCAGCATGAGTGCCTTGCATGGAGGCTTCATGAGGTGAATGAGATGTCAGACAGAAAATGTTTCTAGTGGGCTTTTTGTGAAGTG